TATAAGGTGATTAACAAAACAAAATATAATTTCAAAGTTAGCAAATCAGACACAAAAAAAAGAAACTGCAAGATCATCAGTTTCTCTGGTTTTATCATTTCTAGTTATGTGTTAAAATAAAATGAACAATTTGGTTTTGTTCTTTAAACTACTGACAACATTTCTCCAAAATTCAACGGACGCTGGAATGAAATGGCTGCCAAACACACACACACACACACACACACACACACAGATTAATGACTATTCTGAAGTGGTCTCTGAATTCTGTCCAGAGCTGAATGGACCGGATCAACACACAGGAGAAGGTTTTTATTTACACATTCTGATGGAGCAACAAACACTTTGTAATTGAACTGCTGCTCTTCAGCTGTTATTCTTTGTGTTGTTGTCTGGAGACATGCTTTGTTTTTGAACTACTGTAGCTCAGGAGTCAATGCATGTGTATAAAATCATAACCCAACACAAACATCTGCACACGTGAAAATCCTAGAAAACCCACATACTCAGCAGAACAACATTAAAAACCAGAAGAATGTAAAAGTGCTGGTCTACACAGGTGAGTTTTAACTAGTTCAGCTCCACCTCCATGATCATCATTAAAACAATTATCACTTAGGCCTACTGTTGTTTTCATCAGTATCACTGCTGCCTCCTCCTCCTCCAACGCGTTTGAATCCCCGCTGACAGCTTCACTGTGTCGGCTGGGCTCCTGCAGGCCGCACGGTTCACTTTCACCACATCCAAACACACTGCGTAACCCTCCGCGCTGCTGCTCCATCACATCCAGCCGCTCCACACTTGGCCCCAGCTGCAGTCCCGACTTCCAGTTGGCACACACGAACGCACGCACGGACGCATGCACGCACGCACCGTCCTCCGGGCTGCACAGCTCCAAACAAACCGAGAACGACCTCCAGGACACGGCCGCTGACAGGGGGACGCACCGCAGTGGAAACGCAGGAGAGATCGGCGCTAACTTACCATCGCTGTTGCGCAGACTGTCGCACTTCAACGTCGCGGCTCGGCTCGGACGCGCAGACTGCGTCTCCTCACTGCGCTGCTCCACGAGGACGCACGGCCCCTCTCTCCACATCCACCACCACCACCTCCCCCCGGGCTGGAGCAGTGTGAGCGCGCACAAACACAAACACAAACACACGCACACACACACACTTGGTACAGGACTGCGTGCACGCCCCTAAAGCGCGTGTGTCCGGCCTCCTTGTGACGTCAATACATTCCGACTCGCTCCCGAGGCTCCAGCAGTCCGCGGCCGCGAGCCTCCCCGCGCGCAGAGGAGACTGATCCAAGAAATTATACAAGTGAGCGACGAGGAGAGTTTCTGTTCTGAATAAATGATTCAACAGGATCAAGCGTAAAGCTCCGTCCCCGACACGCTTCGTTATCCTGAGTGCACAGAGGAAATGACTAGAAAAGTTGTTTCCGTTTGTGATCCTCAGAACTGAGATGAACATCCTGCACAGTTTCCATGGAGAACCGCAGGATGTCAGATGATTCACCGATCATCTCATCACGTGTGTTTATTTATTCATACAGTCATTCGTGTTGCTCTGATCTGCAGGTTTTTACATTTCAGTTCTCCGCTGCTCTGTCACCAGCTGATCTCATCCCTCTTTGTTCCATCGAAACACAACAAGCAGCAGAATAATGGCGCCTCCTAGTGGTGGCATCTCTGTCAGTCCACATTATATAAGATAAAAAGAAGTTAAGATAAGTTAAGATAAGATAATATTTGTTACAGCAACATGAGGTCAGTCAGGAATAAACACCAGTGAATAAGTAGCATGCAATACTTAGAGATATAAGAAAAATATTAAATCTACTATAAACAGTGCAAACAGAAGATGTATCATGGGAACATATATACAGTGAAATGTAATGCATGTTCTCAGACTTTAGAAATATCACCCTGTACAGTCTCTGTGGGGAGTAACATGTCAGATGAACTCATGGTGGAAATGTACGTTTATTTCTTCGTCTCTTTTATTGATTCACATCTGTAGGTTTTACATTTGAAACCTGCTCGTCTCTGTTACCAGCTGACCTCATCCCTCTTTGTTCCATACAAACACACAAACAGCAATTCTGCTGTTTATTATTCAATGGGAGCCTCTAGTGGTTGAATCCTCTCTGTCAACATTACACATTTACCTGCAGCACGTCAGCACACAGTACACTAAAGTAAGGGTGCAAGGTCGAACATTATTTATGTGGTACTGCTCATCTTTGATTCAAAATAACACCGACTCAAGAATTAAGTTATTCAAGCAAAAGTCAGATTTCTTTTATTATTTTCCACACATGAAAATCCAGAATTTCCCAATATGACAAACAGAAAAAGAAATGAAAGAAAATCAACACCTGAACATTTGCACAAACAAAGATTGACAGCAGTTGTTACTCAACATCGTTAATGAAAAATCAAGCTGAAACCTGGGTAATCCAGTCACCAGGATCACAGACGATATCAATACTGTTGAATCGCACATATATCGAAGAATTTTCATAGTTCCAGCAATAAACAAGATGCAATTCTTACTAGATACAAGTATACGTCTCCTAACTCACGTGTGTATGAGCTGCGTTATTTCACTTCAAACCTAAAGTGCAGAATTAACCACGTTGACCATGTTCAGCAACGAGACGGAGCTGCTCTGAATTTGTTCGATGCAAAACTGTGGCTGCAGGAGTCAAGTGTAGTCTGTGTTGTTTGTTAGCTTGTGGTCATCAGGTCACATGGCGTTGGAGGATGATTAGTGAATAAATGGAGAGGGGGTGAAGGGGGAAGCCTCATTTTTAGCTGACTACTTTTTAAGAGTTTGTTAGTTACTGTTAATTTCCTTTCGAATGCTCTGAAAGACTCGGATCACTGTGAGCCACCAGCTTTAAAACGATAAAGGTGCTAAAGCGAGCTCGATGAGCAGGTTATTCTCCCAAACTCAGCCTCGCAGCAAGTTTTTTTACAGATTGGCACCAATGGTACATTTTCTTTACAGTTAATGCATGCACCCCAAATAAAAGGTTTCAACAATGAACACAGGCATAAGAAAGTGACTGCTGTGCACATACACATGTATCTTCTACAAATCGGCAGAACAAGTTTGCAGTTGAATTAAACAATTTACCCGGAAAAACATATTAAAAAATATTTATCACCCCTATTTATTTATATTCTGAGATGTGACAAAGTTGGAAATGTAAACTTGAGACTTCTCTACATACATGGAATAGGTACAACACCTGTACCCTGAAGTGTTCTTAGGTCGACCATTCACAAAGTGTCCCCCATCACTTGTAGTTTCTTCTACTGTTGTTTAAGGCCTCCATCAGCTTGGTTTTCATAATCTCCCTTGTTGAGTATAGGGGCAGATCCAGGTAAGAGTGACAGGTGAGGGATTCAGGGAAGTACTGGTCCTGAGAGTCCTGCCAGAATTCCCTGGGCCTGATGGTGATGGTGTTATTGCCAAGAATTGGCAACCTTTCAAAACCGGTCACAAACCCTTGAGGAGGGAGAAGTGGTAATCAGAGAGATTCTGTCTTTTTAATTGATTTGTTTTGGTGACAGCCTCAGTGTGAAGCTTTGCACTCTCTTCATTAGTTTCATTCTATCATCATCGTACACTCAACAGAAAAGGGACAATTAAAGCGTTCCCGACTCTGGATTGAAGTAGTCTATCTCTGCATGATAAGATTAAAATGATTTGTTGCTTTCCTTTTATACTGAGCACATGTAGCAAGTCTATAATTTTGAAGTATCTGTATTGATTGTAATACCGTAAAATACCAAATAATCGCCGGGGCGTTTATTTGGGACCAGGCGGCAGTTTGAGACAGGCATTTAACTTCTTTCTCACAAAATCGATCTGGGCAATAGTTGTACGTCTTCAGCAAGTGAAGTTGTTGCGCTGGAGGAAACGATTTAGCCAACCAGCACTCCTCATCTCTGCTCTCACTCACGGTGGCGTACATTTGTTTCGCCATCGCCCTGATCATTTTGCGGGACACTCTCTCGTGGCGTGCCCGTTGCTGATAACCCATTCCCGCATGTTTATTTCAAGCTCCTCGCTAGCCTTCTTCCTACCTCCACCAGGCAGCTCTTTTGCTGTCCTCCTCGGACAGACGCTGAAGCTCAGTTTTATTTTTTCGCCAATCTCTCACTCTCTCGGGGTCGACAGAGAAACGTGTAGCGGCTGCTTCTCTCGAGTTTTCCTCTGCATATTTTACGACATAAAGTTTGAATTTCAAGTCGTACTTTTTATTTTTTTGCTGCACAATACGTGAAAAAGGCAAAGAAAAACGTGCAGTGTCAGTGGTCACGTCTTCTTCTTTGATTTAAAAAATAAATAAATTAGACCCGGCATTTATTTGGAACCGGCGGTTATTTATCAAAATATACACCCGCACTCTGCGTTTAAAGGGGACCCTGCGGTTAATTGAAACCCGGCTATTATTTGGTAATTTACGGTAGTTTAAAATGTGATATTTAACATGTTGAAAATAAATACAATACTTACAAAGGAACTTCTTCCTCTGATCCTCAGTTAGATCGTCAAAAACCTCCCAAAACATCCGAATGTTGGGGTGGTCAACATGGTACGGCCAGTGGTAACTTGCGTTCTAATTACAGTGAAAGATGTTGTTAGAATAACTTGCTGTCATAGTCATTTATGGGATTTGAATCAAGCAAATGAAAATGTGATTAATTAGTTGTAGTTGTAGAGGACACACAAACACAAGGAGCTCTTGTTTTGATTGTACCTGTTTCAGCCTTTCCCAGGCACGGAAGTCTTTGCCCACCAGGACTTCCTGCAGCTCCTCTGGCTGCAACAGCTTCACCAAGTCCCGGTCGGAAACCTTGAAGAAGCCCCGCCTGAACTCCAGAAACACGTTCTCCACAGATGTGTTGAAGACGTGATTCACGTAGGCGTCAACAAACTCCTTCCTGTTAAGCAGATTCTAAGTTTGAATCCAACAAATAGATGTAGACAACTCGTGAATCTTTAACTGCCCCCTTTCACTTAAAAGTTTACTTATGGTGTACCTCAAGGATCAGTTCTGGGCACTATACTTTTCTTTACAGGCTTCCTCTTGGTTATAATCAACAATATTTCTCAAACTCTTTGCAGATGATACAGAAGTTTATCTTCCTCACTGTCCTATTAGGGCTCATTTATGCTAAACATTAGATAGGTCTACGGAAACAGATGGAACCTTCTGTCCCACAACCTCCTCCACCATAGACCTGGTTCGTTTGACAATTTAGACCCCAGATATTGTGTCACAAAATGTTTAAAGGGGGATCTTAATCTGTAGAGTATTGTGGCAAAGACATAAAACTGCTTCCATGGTCCTTACTTGTTTTGACTTGTCACTGGTTTTTCAGGGTTTATGGGATCAATGTCAACGTCTTTCCCATCCCAGTTGATCTGTTAAGAAAGAAAAGCGATATCACTGATTTGGGAACTGATATAAATCGATCGGTTGATCAGAAAGAGGATAAATGGGGTCAGTTGTTGATCATCTGTAAAACACTTACTGAAAAACATAACTCCAGGCTTTCAAAGTCTTCGTCTTCGTATTCTTCCAGGATGGACAGCAGACTCCTAGAAACACAACAAAAGCAACAATATTCAAGCATCAGTGAGAGTGGACAGTGTTTAGACTGAACTCTGATGAAGTACTTACAACGAGCCTGGGATTTGAATTTATATTTATTTCCACTTACTTTCCAACGTCTGGACTGAATTCCATTATGTCCTCCAGGGAAGGCTTCACACCGAGTAGCTTCTTGAACAGAGCCGTTGAGAACGGTAGGTGTATGATGCACTGGTTGTACAAAGCCAATCCACATAGAACTCCGAACAGGAAGTACCTGCGGTGGTCGTGTGTTGCCTGGTGTTGATGGTAGTGACAATTAAAATCATGAATCCACTGTAGTCACATCTTAAGTATTGAAAGTGTGGTGAATATTTTTGCATTGTTACATGTTACTATCAGAAGGAAAACTGATGAATAGAACATAAAAGTCACAAATCTATTTCCTGTATGTGGATTTGAAGTTTCCTTACTCTGGAGGGGAACCAGGCCAGTGTTCTGGAGTCATTGAAAATGAACATCTTTGATTCGTCTGACACCAGCTCATGAAAGACTTCATGAAAAAAGTCTTTCATGTAGACATAGCTCACTGTAGTGTAGTTCTTATCAAAAAAGACCTAGAGGACAAGAGGACAAAGATTTAAACTTATATCAGAGCACATAAACAACAATGCAAGCTCTGGCCATGATACGGCTAACACATTTACCACAAGTCTTTTTTTGTAGTCACTGTGATGAACGGCATCCAGTTGTTTAAAAGTGTCTTCTGAAATGGATGCTCGTCTCAGGTCCAGTCTGAACAGTGAGTCTTGAGGAACCAGAAGATTGAGTCCCCACTGCTAAAAGAAATTCCAACAGAAACAACTGATAAATCCCGTCTACAATGAAAATCATTCAACATTCACTTTGCCTCATGATCCAGCAGAGGGCGATCACCATCAGACCTAAGCCAGTAATGATACGTTGTTTTGCTGTGAAAATGAGGGACTAGTTTATCGCACACGCTGATATAAAGGGAGATTTCTCAACCCTCACGTTGTGCATAAAAGCTTTTGCTCATGGACCTCAGTTACCTTGTTGAATTCCGCATACTGGTCGAGAACCATTTTCTTTGATTGCAGATCCATCACAATTGGAAAGCTACAAAGGATAAGAGGCTCAGCACCCACACGCTAAACACAAAAGAGAGAATACACATGATTTAGGTTGAAATATACATGTACTGTATGTGGCCACCATTCTGTTTTTAACATGAACTGACAGTGACTGTAAAGGATAAATGCGTTTATAATGTGCTTCCCATTCAAAGTCCTGTCCCTGTACATCAAACCCACCATGCACCTGAAGATCTTAATAACACAAAATAATGAATCTTTGTTTTCTTACCTTGTTTTTCGACTGTAAAAACCAAAGACGCAGATCCTCAATAAGAAAGTTTTTGTCAATGAGCAAGTAAAAATCGCTGTCTGGCATCCTTCTAGATTCTGGAGTCCTGCTGTTGGCCTTTAAAACAGATATTTTATTTATTAATTAAACAAATAAAAAAACATTAAACTTAATTTTTGCAGATAAGGTGCGTGGGATTAGTACGGAGCCCCCGAAGGGTCATGGCGAGAATTCTTTACTTCACCTTGACCCTTCGGGGGCTCCGTAGATTGGGACTATGCCGTGTAATATTCATGGAAAGTACAAGTAATGAGATATACTAACATTGTACATATACTGGAGGACTTGTAGCAGATTTCTGACTCCAGTGTGGCGAGGAACAGGGTTTGAGGACAGGAAGACTGAGAGAGCTTTCTTCCAAACCTTGACATATTTAGACATGGTGGAGGCTGACAATGACGTCCACCAGTTCCCTGAGGAAGACAACATGGACATTTCACAACTCAGCAGACGTCAAGGACATATTGTACCTTCACACTATTGAAGTTTTAATCCTTAAGGTTTTTAGTCCCATTTGATTCGGTGACACCTTCAGTTATCCGTATCTGCTGATATAAAAAGGTTTATTTCAAAATGCAAGAAATGTGTTTACATTTAACTTATTTTATTTCAATTTCTCAATATTTAGCAGTTATAGTATTTCCCTTTTAATATTTAGAATGTAATTAAACATAATGAAAAAGTTATTGGCTTAACTGTAAAATACCAAGCCTCAATTATGTTTCTTTGTCATGAGGGTTTGATAACCACATCTTAGGTCACAGTACCTAGGACCTGAAGGTTTTCATCAGACAGCCCCACAGCGGCAGCGGCGACGGCCTCAGCGAGCTTCGTGCTCTGTGGTCGTTTGAGCTTCTGCATCACGTGAAGAAGCTCATTGAGAAGCAAGAAGATCCTCAACCCCTCCACTCCCGCTGGATCCGTGCAAGATGGGAGAAGCAGCTTCAGGACAGCGGCCTCCACCTGTTCGTTTGAAAAAGATTCACTCATGAAACATTTGAACAGTAGCAGGTGTATCCAGAGTAGATCATTGTGACAAGAGAAAAGAGCTTTAAACACCTAACAAACAGTTACGCACCTCTGCAAACACATCGTCGTTCTCCACCAGTTTCTTGAAAGCGAGTCGTGCAAGCGACAAGTTCAAGCCGGGGTACTTTGAAGAGGTGTGGAAATGTTTTTCTTTTCTAACAACACAAAGAAAAAAAACATCTTGAAAATGTGTTCCTGACTCGTGAGCGCCCCCTACGGAAGCCAGCAGTTGTGAGAGTGGAAGTTCTCCTTATATTGGAAACTCTCTGTTATAATTCACCAGATCAGAAAGAAGGGATGATCTGTGTTTACCTTTTCTCAAGGAAGCTTTGATTCATACAACACGCATTGGAAAAGGTCCTGTTGATTTCCCTGTGAACATTTAATATCAAGAGTTTGGAATCATATATTTACAGTTACATGACACCATCAGGCCATTCATGTATACTACCACTGCGTTATACTCACTGTTTTATCTTTTTCCAGGATTTTGAATCACATTTAGTCGTCCATTTGTCGATCATGTCTTCAAGACAACATCGTTTCGTATCACTGGCCCCGTCAGTGTTTGGCTCCTCATGAACTTCCTGCAAAATACACTAGCTGAGTTGATGTCGTCATTATTATCTTTCCTTTAGTGTATTAGTGAATTATTGTCAGTACCTCATTAGACGAGCACGTCGCAAATGAACAGTTTCCTCCTGCGAAGATGTTTCTGATTTTGGGACCCTCACCGCCGTCTGCAATTAAAAGTACTGAGTAAAAATATCATCTCCTTCATACGTTAGCTAATTGTTTTCTTTGTGACTTCATTGAAACCTTGTGGCAGTTGGACGGGGAGCGGCACAGACGGATGACTCTCGTCTCCATGTCCCAGCTGCCCTTGCTCTCCACACCCAAAGGAGTAAACCTTCTTGGCGTCTGTCAACACTAATGTGTGGTGTCTAAGGAGATGATGCATTAAAAAGGTCATTAGAGACACAAACAGTTTAATCCCTGACGTTTCTTCAGAGCACGTTCCAAACTTCAATACTTCTTCATCATGATGCGAATTACTGCAGTATAAAAAAAGAAGGTATACTGTACATTCCACACGCAATCTCGGTGACCTTTGCCCCCAACAGCTCCACAACAAGACGAGGACGGAGCTCATCGGCGAATGAGTTGTGCCCAAGCTGCCCGTACTGACCCGAGCCGAAGGTAAACACTGCACCATCCTGAGGAAGCAGCCAAAGAGCAAGAGTTTAAAGACCTGCAGACAAACAGGTAAGGCAGATGTGTGTGTGTGTGTGTGTGTGTGTCACATATCACATGACCTGTTACACACGCATGTGTGTGTAACAGGTCATTATTTACTGCTTAGTTACAGAAAATAATACAAACCGCAACTTTAACACTTGAGCAAACATCAGTTTAATAGAAACTACCTAAAATAACAAAAAATTATTAAAAGTTTATTTAACGTATACTCAATGTTCTACTTTGGTCCATATCCCATCCACTGACATGGAGGAGGCGAGATTTATGGAATTTTGTTCTATGTATTTTGTTAATATCTTTTTTTTCACCTTAGTTAAAGTGGCAGTGTGATCCTTCCCACAGGAAATGTGAACGGTTCCCTTCATGTTCAGACATTTGACAGGAGCTGGTGTACGTCTGTCTGTACGAGAGAAATTATACATCAATACATTGAAATGTATATAAATACATTCAGTACAACACGAAGATGTACAGCACCTGTTGTGTCTCCCAGCCCGAGCTGTCCACGGTCGTTTCTGCCCCAGCCGAACACCCCTCCGCTGACAGAGAGGGCGAAGCTCTGCTCCCCCCCCGCGGCGATGTGAACCAGCGCGATGGACGACAGAGAGCGGAGGTGTTGGGGCGAGTTGGCGCCGGGCTTCCCCTCCCCCAGACCCAGCTGGCCCCTGGAATCCTGACCCCACGTGTAAACTCGACCATCTGTGGGGAAATCACCATTCTGTGAGCCCCAAAACCCGCTCGCTGGATTTCCAGTACTTATTTAAAGGTTTGAAAAAAATCTGGAACATATCGATCTTTTTAACGGTAATATAGATAGAGGGATGCTCATGTTTTTATCCTTCCGTTCTAAAACTAAGCTTAAACATCCTGGATGCCGCCATCTTGCAATGTTGACGTCTGACCGTGAAGTGGAGCCATGAAGTCAAGGTCGACCAATCGCGAGTCGGTCTCAGCTGTCAATCATGACACGTTCACATATCATCGAATAACAAAAACACTCTGATCACAACGGCCTGAAAATGACAGAAACCATCTGTGAGAAAAATCAACTTCAATAATGTACTTGAACCTTTTAGTTTGGTCAATGTCCCGTCAACCAACATGGAGGAGGTGAGCTTTATGACCTATACTGCCGCCATCCACCAGGTGGCGGTGGTAAGCTGTCATGTCATGACAGTAAACAAAGATGGACGACATGACGTCTTCGTTTTTCTGATCGTTTTGGTTTTAATTATTTATTTGTTGATATAAACACGGGATCAGCGCCATGATTGACAGCTCAGGCTGACTCGTGATTGGTCGAAGGTGTTTGTCTGCGACTTCCTCCCACAGTCGATGCTGTGCAGATCAAACAAATCCATCGTATTTACAATCTATGATCTTTGTAAACAGCCTCTGATCGTTTTATAAACTCTGTGTCATCAGTGATGGTGCCACTCTACCATTGGTCAAGACGACTGAATGTTGACTCCCACACGCCACCTGACGAACAGGTATGTTACACAACTCCTTCTGCAGCCTGAGAAAACAGAACAGAAACGAATCCTCACGTCACAGACTGTAGTAGTAATAATAATAAGAAGAAGAAGAATAAAATAACAGCCCAAATCTTCATTTGACACATTCAGTTTCAGGTTTAGATCACAGAGGTGTCTCTGACCTCGGTGTGAAGGGGTGGTGAGTTGTGTCCACACAGAGAACTGAGCCTCTGTCAGACAACAGTGAGACATGATCATCTCCGCAGCTCACGGCCCGGATCTTCTCCTTACACTCCACAAACTCTGAGGACACAAACCACAGCAGCTCATGTAGAGGACACAAGATTCATTCACTCAGGGGAGAGATGAACTTGTTGTTTTAGTACCAAAAGGATCCACCAGCACCATCCATCCATCCATCCATCCATCCAAGAGGCCCCAAGCATTTCACCTCAGTGGGTCTTTACCCAAGTAACTCACCCCCCCCACAACACAACACAACAATAAAGAAATGAAATAGTTAAAAAGTAAAACAGATAGAAATGAACGCAGCTGTTTCTCACTCTGTTTTCCTCTGACTCTTTTTCCATCTTTGTTCTGGTTTGTCCGGATGATAAAAGCGTTTCCGTTGGTTTTGATGAAGCTGAGCACACTGTGTCCTGCAGACAGGTCCCTGACGACGTAGCCCGGGCTGCACTGACGCACCTCTAACGAGCTGTCCACGGCCCTGAAGACCTGGTGACCGTCCTCCCCCCACGACAACATGGTGCCTGCGAGGCTCCTGCAGCTCCGGCTCTTTAAAGCAGCAACAGCAGCTGTCACAGAAACGAAACTGAGCCTTCACCCAAGCACTGACGTCACAGAGGGAAAACAAAACCTAAACTTGTGAGTGAACTGAGGAGGAAACGAAACTGAGTCAGAGGTATGGAGGGTTGTTGGTGCCACACAAAACAAACGGGAGCCTCAGAAGTGCCAAGATATTTTATCATATTGTCACAAGTCAGGGTTTACAGGTCAAACCTGCTGAATACAGATTAATACCACAGAGTGTCAGGTGGAAGAGAACAGTATTCTGACATTCAGAGAAAAAAAGTTGTAATATTATGAGAATAAAGTCGTAATATTGCATGAAAAATGTCACGGGCTAATATTACAGGGAAAACGTAACGTGAGAATAAAGTTTTAATATCACAAGAAAGTTGTAATTTAAATAAAACGTTGTAGTTTTACAAGAATTACATCTCGTAATATTACGAGGCTAAAACTTTTAAACTTTATGTTTTCACTTCACGTTTGGAGAATAAATTCTAACTGTTGGGAATGAAGTCAAATCAGAGAAGCATTAATACAGTCAGATTTGCATTTCGAGAACAAAGTCAGAATGTTGAGAATATACTTGAGATTTAAAGATTAAAGTTGAACTTTGATTTTATAAAAAGCTAATGTGCATATGAGCTCGTTCTCAAAAGGACTTGTGTGGATGAGTCGGTGAAATTTAGTTTCACTTTCAGTTTTGTTGCCAAGGAAAATTTTTTCTCTTTAAGAAGAGAAAAAAAAAAGCTCTTTGTTGATTCAGATTTAAATATGTACCAATATTATATTTGTGATAAATTCATTCAGGATTTCTTTTTATTTCTCTTCTTTTTTTTTGTGAGTTTGTCTTTTTGTTTGTTTTCCACATGTTTTGCATTTGTAATGAAAGAAGACATAGTAAATGTAAATCGGGGAGTCAGGAGAGGAATCACTGACACTGATGTAAAGAATATTTATTCCATTTTAAAAAGTGGCACTGATCCAACAGTTTCAACATTTTAAACTGTGTCATGCTGCATATTCACCTGAAAAGATAGTGACAGGGATCAACCACAAGGTGGAGGTAGAGACTAAATTTCCTCATTGTTCAGACCAGAATGTCACAGGATGAAAAAAAAAAAAAGAAAATCTTTAAACATGTTTTTTAAGCAAAGTTTTGACTTTATCTTTAAATTTCTGGAGCAATTTGACTTTTTACCAAATACTTTCACCTTCCAAATAAAAAAAAAAAAAAAACAAGGACATTGTCTGAGCAGTGGGAAACAAAGGGCCTCATGAGAAATGTCCAGCGTTGCACCAATAGAATATTAGGTCGTGATAGTTCTAATAATATTAAATACAAAAGTTTTAAAGTTTAAATCCGACAGTGACACGTTCACCTGGGATGTTAAAGAGCCTCACATGTGTTTTCAATGACACGGGAGAGCAGAGACGTGGGTGGTGAGGTTGCAGATAAGCATCACAGTGACTGGATGTAAAACACGGTCCGATAACATCTCGGCTCGTCGATCACCTCTGACTCCTCGTCGTCCCTCTTTGTGTTCGCTGCCACGGAAACAAAACTAAAAGTTACTGACGTGCGTGTTCGTCCACGAGGAGGAGGTTATGTTTTCACCTGCGTCTGTCTCTTGGTTTGTTTGTTGTCAGCAGGGTGTTCGCGACGCAGCTCGTTAGCTCTGTAACCACAAGCTGCCCTCGAACTCGTGGACTCGGGGTCACGACGTGGGAAGTCGCGTACGCGGCGCGTTTAGTTGCTGGGAAACGGCAACATTGACGTTAATATTACTGTCGGAGTCTAGAAGGCACAGACGCTAGCGATTAAGAAATATATTATTACAATAACTACCCAACCCCCAACATTTCCGAAAACATCAGGGACTTAGATCTCGCAGCAAATTCCTAGGTAGGAGGATTTGAGAATTCCACAAGAGGGAGCTGTTGTTAGGAACTCTCAGCATTACGTTAAATTAGAGAGATTAAATGTTAATATTAACAATAGACGTCTGGGAATATTTACATGATTTATTTACAGTAAAGATTTCAATACTTCACATTCAGGACTCCGAGGTCCAGTCTGGAAGAAGTTTTGAGTTAACTCCATTAAAAAGTTTAAAAGTTCCGTGTGTACGATTTGGGTGAAATTGATCTTTTGGCAGAAACTGAATATAAAATAATCCTTTTGATGTTTTCACTAGTTTGTTTAATCTAAATTGTGAAAATTGTCGTTTTCTTTACCATAGAATGAACTTTTTATATTTAAATACTTTATGTAAAACTAAACCTTTTGAGCTTTTATGAAAACTGAAGCTGCCACAGGTTCTCGTTCATATTTGGAGGTGAAGGGTTTTCAGCTGCAACATGATCCTTCACCACTAGATGTCACTACATTCTACACACTGAACCTTTAAAGCTGTCTGTCTCCAAACTTTACATTAATAAGATTTCTCCATGTGTTGGACGGGGGGGGGGGGGTTGTTACTAAAGAGGACCATCCTGTTGGAAGTGATTCTCGTTTCTTCTTCTGCCGCTGCCAGAAACCATCGGAGCTTTGGTTCAGTCGGAGCTGGGGGATCACCGACGTCGTCTTGTCTTCTGCTTCAGAGCAATAAAACAAATTTTCCTCCAACTCTCCGACCCAGAGGCACAAGATGTAAAACACAGAGAGGCGCCGCTGCCAGTCATCCGCTAACAACAAGATGCTGCCGATGCTAAGTTCAGTTTCTGATCATCACAGTTGAAGAGGAAAAAAAGATGAATGATCCTGTTTTATTGCTTTGTGCTGACTCAGCGTTTATTCTGCACTCATTCTGATATGAATCTTACATTTTTATCCTCTTAAGCAACTTGAGTCTTTGACAGTAGGTGAAGGAATGCAGCCTCCAGAGGAATGAACTGCACGGAGCGTTTCCAGCACTGTGTGTGTGTGTGTGTGTGTGTGTGTGTGTGTGTGTGTGTCTGTGTGTGTGTGTCTGAGTCGTACCAGGATCTAAACATCCACACTATCATCTCCCGTTCTTTGCTTCCACAGCAGAACAACATGACCGCAGAGGATGTCTGTCTTCTTCTTTTTTTAACTCTTTCACTCTTTCACCCAGTTTTTTTTTTTTTCGTTCTCTGCTGCTTTTTTTTTTTTTTTTCTTTAACAATTTTGCAGTTTTTCTATTTTTATTTTGTTCTTTAACGCACAGAATATTTACAGGTTTATTTCTCAACATCACAATCACAGGTTTTCAAACTAATATATATATATCTGTATTAATATAGTAGTTTATGATGACAGACAATGAAGGAAAGCAAAATTTAATTTCGAATAAAACTTTCAAAGTAACTGTGACTCAGGAGGGAGCTCCTCCACTAACCAGAGGGTCGGTGGTTCGATCCCGGTCCGAGTCCTCGTGCTGAAGTGTCCCGTAAAGTGCTTTGAGTGTCATCAATACTAGAAAAGCTCAATAAATCAAACGTGCGCCGTGTCCTCAAAAGACTATTTTTGAACAGGGCTCTCGTGCATGTTTCCTCTATCTGCTCTAAAGTGAATATTTAGATACAGCCTCTGATGTGACTACTGGAAGTGGACGAACCTACAGTTACACTGAGCAGCTATCAGGCTTGAAAGGGCCTGTGGCGGCATGAGGCTAGGACACACACACACACAGATGGGAGATAAAGGCCTTGTCAGACAGCTGAGATATAGCACCAGAGCCCTGGGGAGTTTCAGGGGATTTCCACCAGGGGAATCGGACACATCGTCTGATTTACACTAACACTTTGGCTAAACTTGTGATAAAAGTTCACAAAAAGAAACATTACTGTATCTGTCTTTATCCATCTCGGCCTCCATCCGTCTCTGCCTCCGCTCCACGTCGCCTCGCTCCGTGAAGACTGTGGCAGCTCGTTGTGTCCGTCGTCTTTCACGTGTTATTGTGAAGCGGGGGTTTATAAAGTTGATAAAAGAATCAGTCATGAAATGATGGATTTTGACTTAAAAGAGAAGCTGATGTCGGAGACGAGGGTAAAAAAAAGGAGAGAGAGAGAGAGAGAGAGAGAGAGAGAGAGAGGGTGAAAGAAAACACGTTCATTTTTATCTATGCTCTTTTTTTACTGAGAGCCAAGGAATGCAAAGAGGAATCTGGTGAGAGATAGAGAGGAGAGTGGATGGCACTGTGCTGTTTGCAAAGGTTTCTCTGTCTCGTTGCTCACAAACCTGCTACTCTCTGAAGTTTTGTGCAGTTTTTGAAAAACTAAACTCGACCTGTTGAGATCAGACGACCTCCTCAGAGTCTTTAAAACATCTCTCTATCACAAAGCGTGAATGAATGTAGAGTTTTATCTTTTGAGCGTTACTCCATTTCATCCCCCCCTCGGCTTTAAGAACTGATTATCACCTCCACCGAGCACCTTTTCATGTTTTCATAGCATTACGCAAAAAAAAACTACTCGACCGAGTTTATCGAAACTTGGCAGAAGGGTGGGTCACGTGTCGCCCGTAAATCTTTGGAGAGGATTTGATTAAACGTTGCGGTTTGATTAAATAATGTGAGTTATGGTCATTTCTGACATGTTTGTGGATTTCTTCATGGAAACACGAGGCTGACGGTTTGTGCTAATGTGAATGAACAGGTGAGATTTGAATCTGATCTCAGTACATTTAAATGCGATTCGGTGATAAAGTGGCCGATCCCTTCTTTAAATGTCCACGTTTTCTTCTTCACTGTATTTGTTTTCTCATTATAAACAGCTCAGGATGAGGAGATCTGAAGAAGAAGAAGAAAACCTCCTCTTGTGTTTTAAAGGAGAGAAGCTTGGTGAAGTTCAGCTGATATGAAAGTGTAGAATGTGCTTTTTTTTTTTTTCATTTTGAGACATTTGTGTGTTGGTGGAATCAAAAAGTCATATTTAATTTCTAACAATTACATCTTCATGACGATGAAAGTACATGAAACGAGTCCAGTGGTATTTCATTGATATCACTGTCTGGACTGAAACCGTGGAGTGAGCAGCTGCGAAGCTGTAAAACCTTGAACGACACGTGAGCGACTAGTAAATAAATGTGAAATGTAGAAACAATAAAAAAAAAAAAACTGAAGACCACAGAGACTGAAAGTGTTACTGTATCAAAACAGTTCACAAAACATTTACACAGAGAGAAACCACCGATTTCAATAATCTCACACGTCCGAGTACAAAATGTTCCACCGACATTCGATGTTTTCTGACTCCAACATTAACACATCAAAGAGAGAAGAAACAGTAAAGTAGAAACAGTTCCTGGTCCAAAAAGAAAGTCTGAAGTATATCAGTTCAGTTACATGTTTCTCCCTCATGGAAACGGATCAGTTCCCACAGTGAAGAGGTTTTTTTTTTTTTATTTACATCTCGACCACCACGACGCGGCCGCAGAGCCGGTGTGACCCAGCAGACACGCGTCAGAGCTCGCTGTCAAGAGTCCAGCTAATATTTACACACGACGGAGACGAGAGACTCTACCGTCGACCTCCGAGGGCGCTGCGAGAAAAAAGATCCACTTTTCACAACACGCAAAAACAAAATATACAACCGTGAAGACGCGCCTGTGTTCGCAAAGTGTGTTTTAATGCTGACGAGACAAAACACTGTATGAGGTGTCGGATTAATCAATTTGATCTTTTTTTTCAAATTCAAGCTTTTTTAGTTTAACGCTGAATGAATGAATGACACCTTTCTCCTTTTGAATCAATCCAGTGGAAGCTATTTTTGTCATGAACGGATAATAAATAAGCCATCGTTCAACGTAAAGAGATATTTACAGCGGCTGAGAAGAAGCTGAGCTGCAGCCAACGTGCCCGACCGTCACCTTTGACCTCCGTGCTGATGGTTGAACGAGATATTACATCAGAGTAAAGTCGGCGGATTCTTTAGCACCATGACGAGGAAAGTTACCAGTGTTCCTTCTGGAGCGGATTAGAAGAGCGGGACAAGAGGGCCTTATAAAGTAAATGCAGATCTGACGGAGGGTGAGTACATTTTTATATTTACATCTACCTGACACAGTGCAGTTAGTAAAACCTGGAGGAACTCGTGTGCTGACTGACTCAAGGGAATGAAAATTAAAATCCAGAGGAAACATTTATTGAGCGGACAGGTCGGGTGATGCCAACAGATCTGAGGAAAAGTCCAAAACCAAGATTGAAGTGATTCTACGAAGTCTGCGAAGATAAAACCTGTTTGTATAATTTACATCTTCAAGAAACAGCAGGTTTATCAAATGTGTAAACACTTGCAGCTGAAGTCAAGAACTATTTTATTCTGTTTTTTTAAAACGACCTCTGAACGCAGGATGTGGATTCTAGTTATTAAAGTCTAAACGATAAACAACCATCAGGACCCGGCTGGATTTCACGCAGGCTGGTTTGTCAGGTGCACAGGGAGGTCGGCAGAAAATAAAAGCAGATGTGACCCAGATGTTCACGTGTGTAGAACTGGGGACGTGGACCTGGACTCAGGGGTTCAGATGGCGAGCTGCAGCTTGGTGAGGTTCCTCTGGTGCATGTTGTGGTGTCGCACCAGCTCGTCGCTCCGGGCGAACTTCTTCTGGCAGTTTGGCCACCGGCAGTTAAACGGCTTCTCGCCTGAGAGAGGGAGGTGTGAGGTGGGAGGGAAGGATGGACAGAGGAGGGGTTGAAGAAGAAGAAGAAGAAGAAGAAGAAGAAGAAGAAGGAGTAGGGAGAGGTGATGAGAGGAGGAGTGAATGAGGACAGGAGGGTTTGAGAGTGAAAATGAAACGAGGATTAGAATATTGTGTCGATCAGAAGCTTAAATGGGAGAATTGAGTCGACTTCATATAGAAAATGTTTCGTCCGTAACGACGCAGATCCAGAAATAATATTCTGTTCATGGTAAAACTCACTGAGCACTTTATTAGGAACACACCTGCTTGTTGAGTTCATCTTTCACATATGAAGAACGCAGCATTGTGAGCTCGACTTATTCTGCCGCCATCGATTTAACGTGGACACACGAAGAGAATCCAGAATTTTTTTACTAAATCAGCTCTTTTGGAAAATGTACAAATCTCTGTTTTAGTGACTGAAGAGGTTGTTTGTGTGAACGAGAAGCTCGAACGTGGAGGAAAATGTCTTGGCCTTAAAAAACCTGTTCTGATGAATCTCCGCTAAGACTAAACTACCAGTCAATCCTATTTCATCTGAGTGTTGTTACTGTCTCTCCAGCAGGAGGAGGCTCCATGTCAGGAAACCCGTCTCAAACTGGTTTCAAAGAAAAGATAGTAAGTGAATGGTTTCCTCCAATAACGTGATTCAAACACCAGATCGGCCGTGTTAACGTGCAGCTGACAGATCTTCTAGTGTTCCTAATAAAGTGCTCACTGAGTGTACAAACAAATTACTCTTAATCTCTATGTAAATATTAAATGGATGAAGAAGAAATGAAAAAATAAAAGTTTACGCACTTGTTTTACCTGTATGAGTCCGGGTGTGTGTCTTAAGGTGGTCAGACCGAGAGAACTTTCTCTGACACGTCTCGCATTGGAAGGGTTTAACTCCTACACACACACACACACACACAAACGTTCACAAGTCCACACATTCAACACACAAACAAGCCAGAGTTCACACACACATACAAACACACAAATAACACATTCACCCTCACACACACGGAGGGAGATAGAAAAATACAGTAGAGCAGAGGCTTGCAGGCGTTTGAAGCCATTCAGAAGTTTTGCCAGCCTTTTCGTGACTTCATCTGAGAGGAGCTGGGTAAAGTGCACCACTGTTCTCATTATGCAAACTGTGCCCTTCACTAGGCTGCAGTATCCACAACATGGCTGTCATGCAAACAGCGGAGAAAGGCGAGTGGTGAGGGCAGAGAGAAAATAAAAGACAGGGAGGCAGAGTGAAGAGAATCAAACCTGTGTGTCTCCTCTGGTGTCGTTTGAGCTGGTCGGAGCGGGAAAACCTCCGGCCGCAGTCTGTGAACTCACACTGGTACGGTTTCTCCCCTGGGCAAAGATAAGAGTTTAATAAAGCGAAGAAGATTTTATTAGAATTTGTTTTCTTCTGTTATTTAACCTTTAAAATACCAGATAACACACATGCATCCACAGGGGAACAAGGTACACAGGCGTAATACTGCATCTTCATTCATCTGAAAATAATAAACTTTGGTTTTAAACTCTTCAAAAGAGACAGGAGCTTGATCCAACTGTTTCAGACAGAGGCTGAAAAGAGGAGCTGCAGCATTAGACATTATAGAACCTGTTCATTAACACCACCCGCTAAAATGATCAACCTGAATATGATGTGTTCAACATCTGAATATCGTCTGGTTTTCATATTCTTCTGCAAACGTCACTGCTCTTTACTGAAATCCTTGTTTTCTATACAAACAACATATTCTATAATTTTTTCTCTCTTGTCATTCTGACTTGTCTGCTGCTGTAACAAGGGAATTCCCCCCCCCCCCCTGCTGTGGAATCAATAAATAAAGTTTTTATCTTTTCCTTCGCTGCCACTGAACATTTGACTGGAAAACCAAAGGATTTCTTCAGTTGACAAAACAGGAAGTATTTTCTGGCAGCAGCAGATAAGGAAATTTGGGGCCAATGGAAACATGACTTAAAACATTTGTTGTCCTGAAGCCAGAAAGACTTTTGAGTGAGTTAGGAACAAGTCGGCTCCGATGAAAAATGCGTCTGAGTGGAAACTCTGGCATCAACAACACAGCCTGTCATCGTGCGTGTGATGTCACGGTGTGTTGTTCTGTTGGTTTCACCTGTGTGTTTACGACTGTGCATCTGCAAGTGTGACAGCTTGAAGTAGCGCTTGTTGCATCCTGGGTAGGCGCACATGAACGGTCGCTTCTCGCTGGTCTCGGAGCGCACGATGGCCGGAGCGATGCTGGGCACCCGCCTCACGTCCTGCACGAACACACACACGCACACACACAAACACACTCACTATTATATTTGTGTTTAGCTGAATCAATACAACAAGGCAAAGACATGAATCTGTCATGGACTCGTAGAACTAAGACGTAAGATGCTAAAACATCTTGTTGATCATTTTACTGCATTGACGTTCAGCACCTGTGTTTATTTCAGAAACCAACCGGGCATGTTCCGCTCTGCAAGCCCCACCCCAGAGACGCTTGTGTCAGGTACTACCCTCTGAGCAGGGACTTTATCGGGGGTAAAAAATATTTAGTTGAATTGAGACCCTGGCCCCTGCAGTGGAAACACACAGAGCTCCTGCAGAGGTTCCCGGGGAAAGTGTCTGTGTCGCAAACGTTGCTTGAGACAAGATGGAGAAAAGTTTAGATGTCACGAGAATAAAGTGATAATTTTACAAGAGTGAAGTTTTAATATTTAGACTTTATTCTTTTAAAATCAAGTAATATTGTGACTTTAGTTTCTTAATTTCTTCTTCCGATGTAAATAAAAAACACCCAGATAAAAAAAAAAAGATATAATTTTCTAGACAGGATGATTCATTAGCTGTTATTCTATTTAATCAACAACCAATGTGATTTAAAAAATCAGGCACTTAAATCTGTCACGTGTGTAAATAAGAACATGTGACGTGTCTGGCTCGTGAGGATCATTATGACAAAGTGGGCCAATATTCATTAGATGTGAATTAGCAGTAAAATGACCCCAGACTGACTGAGCCCGAGGGGAGCTGTTAGTCACGCCTGTTAGACAGAGCGCCGCCCCCATTACTGCCCCTCCGCTCACTGCAGACGCTGCCGAGGAACAGGAAATAACAAAACATCTTTTATATTCGAACATTTCTTCAACTCATATATTCGTCCACCCGGTGCGTGACATTTAAATATTTTCTCCATCTCTCTCCGGCCTCTTGTCTTTGAGATGTTCCCACTTTGTGCAACTCGTCTTTAAAGCCTCTCTCCCCTCCACCCACAACCATCTGCTCCTCATTTCCTCTGCTTAGCATTAATGGTGAGACGGACGTGGAGGTCGACCCCGTTGTAATTACTGCTGTTAGCAGCTATTGATAAGTGTACCTGAGGAACGACCGCGTACAGTGAGCGGCTAAAACTGAGCTGCACCTTCCACCTCAGATGCCACATTACACTGGAGGTTGAAGTGTGATGAATCAGTTTAAACTGGTTCCTGACGACTCAAGGTTTCAACGCAGCTGAGTTATTAAAGAAACCAACTGCGAAAGGAAACGAGGCATGTGAGCTCGGCACGCGGAGGCCGATTTGATGAATGAACACAACAGTTGTGAAATAATCCGTCAATAAATTGAGAAACATTTGAAATCATTTTCTCAATCATCTGTTATTTTTACGGCCGCGTTGGCTGAATAAGAAATAAGACAAAGACGCAGCTCAACTAGCACGTTAAGGTTTGCAGCGTACTTATGTGCAGCAGTTAGCTCCTCGGCTATTTGGTTTATTCAGTTGGGTTTTTTTTCTTTTTATTTACAGTTTTGTTTTATATAGTCTACATTTTATATATCTACTGTTTTCTCATATTCTTCAAAAAATATAGAAATATAATTAATAAGAATCTTTCAGGAAATATGCTCCATTATTTCACACATTGTAAATGATTCTTAATGATGTAATAATATACATATTTATATATATCAGATCATTTATTGTGATGATTTATCTATAATTCATAATTCATTGGATTATTACTGAACAATGAGTATTTGAGTAATTGATCTAATGTGCCTGCAGTAATTTAAACTGTGAGATGAATCAGAAATCAGCAGGATGATCATTCATCCATTCATTCATCTCAGGATCCAGCGTTTTAACAAAATGTTTGATGGAGAATTAAATTCCACAGCTGAGATTTAGTGAAAACCCTGAAATAAAAAACCAGCAGCGAAGAATCACTTTGTTTCTCGGTTGTTGTCTCTCGTGTGTAGCGGCTCTTTAATCGTTCTTTAAATGGCACAAGAGTGAGGGTTTTGTTTATTGTTCTGAGCGGAGCCAGAACTCGTAGAGTGCACGTGTTTCATGCAGTACATTCGTCAGATTTTTTATTTTTTGTTTGGAGGGGCGGGGGGGCTAAGAAAGACAAGAAGCAGGGTGAATAATGAAACAGGCCTCGGAAAAGAAAGAAAGAAAGAAAAATCTCAAGAAGTCTCGCTGCGGACTGAGAGAAGGTCTGGAGAATCTCTGCACTCCGTCCTTCAGAGCTGCTGACAGACAATAATTAAAATCTAATGATTTATATACATTCGGATCCCTGTATGGAAACTATATCTTTACCCAGTGTAACCCTATGTGTGTGTCTGTGTGTGAGTGTGTTTCTACACTGCTAATGGATTTGTGGAAAATGATTCCTCTCGACCTCGAGGGCTGCCTTTTAAAAATCTTTGTGTGTTCAATCGTAGCCGTGTGTGTGTGTCAGTGTGTGTGTGTGTGTGTTTGTAAATCTCTGCTCTGCTACATATCAGTGTTTCCTCTTCATGTCGTCCGGTTATTGCATCAGCTTCTCCAACACTCATCTCTTTCGGTCGGCTCATTAAAAAAGTATTTTTAAAAAAAATAAATAAAGCTCCTCTCCCTTCACTTTGTATTGTGTGTGTCGGTTTCGGTGAGTTGTGTTCATGCCGATGTTGACACGACGCGGTCACATCAGTGCGAGTGAGCAGACAAGACGGTCAGTGTGACCTCACGTTGGCCTCCTGACAGTGAGTGAAGCAACATGAACAGACGATGTGGTCGTTTACCTGGATTCCCCTGAAGACTCCGTGTGTGTGTATGCGGTACTGTGTGCTGCAGCTGTACACCATCGGGGTGTTGGGGTCACTGTCGTATCCTGCTGCGTGGCTGCCAACACAGAGAGAGAGAGAGAGAGAGAGAGAGAGAGAGAGAGAGAGAGAGAGAGGAGAACCATGACGCTGACGCATTTATTCAGCAAAGTAAACTGTTCTTTGACTTCACAGTGAGAACATCAGAACTGTTCACTTGATCTATTCGTGTTTACATTTTTTAACATCGATGCATTTTTATATTTTGGCTCAAACTTTTCAGTCCAAATGATTTCACTTGAAAATGTCACTTTGCTAAGGAGGAAGAATCAAGAGTCATGTGAGACGATTCATTTACGACAAGAATAAACTTATATCATCATGGAAATATAGTCAAATGAACCGGTCCTTGTGAGATGCTCCATATTTCTTCATTTTAACGCAGACTCCTCGACTGATATGCTTCCAGTAAAATGACACTGGACCTAAAATTATGACTTCATTCTCATAAAATCATAACTTGATTCACGTCATGTTATGATTTTTCTCTCGAAATCTTGGCCCTGATACTTTCTGATGAACGTAAAGACGTCAGAAAACACGAACGTGATTCAGGGACATAAATTCACAGAGCAACAAACATCGGCAGGTCTATCGAGCGTGACCCGAGTGAGTCGGAGTGAGCCGGCACAGCGAGGTCAGGGAGATATCGTTACTCAAACAGCTTGTCACCCGTAATGCAAAACACAGATCATGTGTAGAGTGTGGAGATGTAACTGTAGAGATGTGTGCTGCAGATTTATGCTTTATTTTTCATAATTTGTCAGCGCGGCACATATCCAGCTGAGCCCTGGATGTGTCTGTGTGCACACGTTTGTATTGAAAAATGAAAAACTTTAAAAACTTGAGAGAAGAAGAACAAACCCTGATACAAGATCAGCTGGTTCATGAGTTGAAACTGAGTCGTGTGTGGGTTAAAGGTATAAATATATATATATATATATATATGTACATATATATATATGTATAACTTTGGTGATTTAGCGCCATCATCAGATCAAACCAGTATTTTAACTTCCTGGTTTGACTAAGTTAAGATGACGTTTAACATCTGCTACAGTCTCACGTTCATTCATTCATTCATGTGTATTAATCAATGAACTCTTTATTAAGTATTCCTGAACTTTGCCAAACAGATGAAAAATGTTTCATAAGTAAATAAAATGTTTTTTTTTAAAATTATAATCATATAAAAATGAATTGTAAAAAGTAATCAGTGAGAAACCCCAGGGAGCGTTCAGGCTTAAAAAGAACACAACTAGAATCTAAAATATTAAAAACATTCATTAATCATCACATCACGTCATCACTAGCTATAGATTCACTTGTGATTCAAACAGTTTTCAGTATTTCACTCAGAACTGAAGCTGCTCTCTGACACAGCTGCCTCTCGTATCTTCTTGTGATAACAGAGGAACAAAAAGCTCTTGTCTCTGAAATGTGTCGTATTTCAGTCGACTGAACGAGGACGATGGGAGTTTGCATCCTGAGCCGCAGCAGTGGGAACGGACAGTAAACAGCCGGGCGCTCATAAGGCGCTCATTGTCCGTCTCCATTTTCCCGAGTACGAGAGAAATCAACAGACCTCGTGAATGACACTTGTGCGATGCTGTGCTTATGTTCATTCATGTTTCTTTGGGGATTTTTTTTAAAAATTTGAATTTTTAAGACTCCATTCAACCTCCTCAGTGTGCTCCCGCTGGCTGGAGGGGTGTGCTGCGTTCAGTCCTCACTGAACACGCCACCGAACACGCCACCGAACACGCCACCGAACACGCCACCGAACACGCCACCGAACAAAGTAGTGTCAAAATATATAAATATGATAAACAACACAGAAGTGGACACACAGACTCTGAAGTTTTTCCCTGAGGTCAAACTGTGAAGTCAACATAGTAGTCGTAGTATTAAGCGTCAATATGTGAGATTTATATTTCCTTAAAATCTGCTGACTTGAGAGAATTACCCACAATTCACGGTATGGTAAAAAAAAACATCAGCTCCAAATGTTTCGGTTTCTGATGTTTACAAAGATAAGATGACATAGAAGTGAAGCCAAAGTGCCCTCTGGTGGCTGACCGCAGTATAAGTCACGTGTTAGTAGATGGGACACAGGATCCAAAGTAACAAGTACACATTAAACAAATTTTTCTCAAAGATGGTTTCTGTCACTCGAGCTGGTTCTTATCGCACAGCTGCATGTTCAAGCGCTCACTGGTGCGGTGAGTTTGGTTTTAATATGTGTTGATTTAAAACAGGATGGACTGACTCATGATTGGTCGAGCATTTCTGAATATTGGAAGGAAGTAGAGACATGTCGTCCATCTTTATTTACAGTCTGTGGTTCAAATGCTGAGGATAAAATA